ACGCTGTTCAACACACGAGGAAAGTGAAAGCAGGTTCCACACAGGGGGTCTGGAATGGAAGGCTCAGCTTTACCCTGATGGTGCAGACCTGTCCTCAGCTCTACCAGGCAACCTTGCCAGCCGTTGGGACTTGGGGCTGAAGCAAAGTGACTCTGCATAAAGACACAGAAGACCCCAGCAGGGGGAGCAGCAGGGCAGCCCATGTACATCTCTGCAATTCTGCTTGGAAAGCAACACACAAGCCGTAAGAGACCCGGGGAAGGAAGACATTCACAAGGAGATGGATGCAGGCTACCTTTCACCACTGCCTATACACAAAAGGCATGCCGCTCACAGCTGAGAAAGTACAACTAGGGGAAGGAAGAACTGCCAAATCCCTCAAAATAGAGGACATTCAAAGTGGCAAAAGGGCAGTGGGGCTCATGCCTGCGGATGGTATCCGATCCTACTTTCTTGTAAGATTAAGGAAGCACTGGGCAACCGCCTCGGGTTCCCTCCCACTGTGGGAGCTTTTCTGTCCTCTTAATTAATCCTGCTTTCTCACTTAAAAAGAAAAAAAAAAAAGAGTAAGGAAGCACAGGCATCAAAATCTGCAGACTAGAAGTCAACAGCGAGGGGGGAATTTGTAAAAGCAACAACAGAGCGCTCTTAAGAAATGTTGTGTCACATGTGCACGAGGGAAGAGAGGACTACGCCCAACATAAATAAGCAGATATCAACTAATCTGCTTAACTTGGAAATTTTCTGTGTCTATCTGAGGAAGGTAAGATGAGATTTCATAACTAAGCACAGAGCCTGGGATTCACAGCACAAGGCCTAGAACAGATTGGGCTGGAGCAGCAGGCATGGTCATTGCTAGAAGCCACTGTTATTTCGTTAAGTGCTGTCCCACCCCAGGGCTTGAAACCCAGGAAATTCTTATTTCTAAGCTGATAATTAACCTATCATATTGAAGCTTCGTTTATTGACTTTGACTTACAGTAAAACTCGCCCTTAATGTTAAAAAGTAGAAATATATATCTTAGAGACCATTCCATATCAGTATAAAACAAACTTCTTCCTCCCCGCCGCTTTTTTTTGAGTTGGAGTCTCACTCTGTTGCCCTGACTAAAGTGCAGGGGCATGCTCCCAGCCACCGCAGCCTCGACTTGCCAGGCTCCAGCAATCCTTCTGCCTCAGCCTCCCAAGTAGCCAGAACTACAGGCACGCGCTACCATACCCGGCTAAGTTTTTATTGTACAGACGCGGTCTCGCCAAGTTTCCTGGGTGGGTCTTGAACCCGCGGACGCAGGCAATTCCCTCACCGTGGCCTCCCAGAGTGCTGGGATGACAGGCTGAGCCACCGAGCCCGGCCCTTCCATCCCTCTCACAGTTCCACAGTGTCCAGTCGTATGGATATACCATAGTTCTATATACTGATGGGCAATCCACATTGCATTCACCTCTTGCTGTAACAAATAACACTGTAATAAACAGCCTTGCACATGAATCATTTTAGATGTTTGCCTGTGAGTCCTTGGGATACAGTTTTAAAAGTAGGATTTCTGGGTCAGAGAGTAAATGCATGTATAATTTGACTACACGTTGCCAAATTTACCACCACAATAAATACAGCATTTTGTGCTCTGCTCAGTAACTCATGCAAGAGTGCCATAGTTAGTGAGCAGAGTATACTGACAAACTTTTGGGTTACTGCCAACCTACAGGTGATGAATAGACGTTCGCCATACATTTAATTTACATTTCTAATTTTCATTAAAAACATACTTTGTTTTTCCTCTTGTGCTTTTTTGTAATTAAAGAAAGTTTTTTTTTTAAGTCAAATTCATGAATGTTTAAGTCAAATTTATCAGTATTTTCCCTTTATTTTATCTGGGTTTTGAGTTAGTTAGGAAAGAATTACCTATTCTCATCATATAGATGAATTCACCCATGTATTCTGCTAGTACTTACGGCTCCAAGTTGTACATTTAGATTTCTGATTCATTTGATGTTTTTCCTAGTGTATACCGCAAAAACATGCACAATTTTATCTTTTTCTTTATGGCTATTCAGTGATCCCACCTCTACTTCTATGTTTATTCCCTCCACTGATTTGATGTGCTGACCATGTTGCATACCTTATTTCTGTAAGCAATGGCTCTAGATATTCCATTCTGCTTCACTGAGCTATCCATTCATTTTAATTAGAGCGGTATTAAAATCTATTTCAAAAACTGGTATGGCTTTCCAATCCCTCATGCTTTTCAGGGCTGCCCTAGCTATCCTGGCTTGTTTAGTTTTCCAAGAAAACTTTATAATCAATGTACTTAGATCTAACACAAAACCTGATTGACACTGGTATATATACACAATGAAATACTATTTATCCTTAAAAAGGAAGAAAATTCTGTCATTTGTGACAACATGGATGAACTTGGACGACATTATGTTGAGTTTAACCACACATAGAAAGACATGATCTCGGGTCCCCTCAGGTCCCCTCCCACCATGGGAGCTTTTCTATGCTCTCAATAAATCCTGCTTTTTTAAAAAAAGATAAAAGAAAAGAAAGCCATGTTCTCTCCCATATGTGGAATCTAAGAAAGCCAATCTTATTGAAGTAGAGAGTAAAACGGTGGTTACCTGAGGCTGGGGAAGGGGAAGGAGAATAACAAGGGGAAAGACAGGTTAACCAGTACAACCTTACAGTTAGATAGGATAGAAAGTAGGATTTCTGAAAAGTTCTGGTGTTCTATTGTACAGTAGGGTGACTACAGCTAGCAATAATGAATTATATATTTTAAAATAGCCAGAGGAAAGGATTCTGAATGTTATATCACAAAGAAATGATAAATGTTTGATGTGATGGATTTGCTAATGTATACATGTATCACAGTATCACATTGTATCCCATAAATATGTATGATTATTATGTCAATTAAAAATAAAAAATTAAAAATAAAATTAAAAGGCATTACCAAGCCCCACCCCAAAACAGTACCAACAAACAAAAGAGCAATAAGTATAACTGTAATTTGACAAGTCTTAACACAGCATTTTTTTCTTATCCCTCCCAGAAGTCAGTAATTCTAGTGTGACTAAGTAACAAATTACTTTGCAAGTCAGATGGCTTCCAAATTTTGGCCACTGACAAACTTGAAAGATAACCTAATCAGGTATAATAGATAAAAAATCATTCAAAGTAATTTTTGGTGATAGACCACTATGTGATTTTTGCTGTGTTATCCTGAAGGACTTCAAAGAATTGAAAGGCACTGCTATAACAGAACTTTTCCATCGTCATACACTATTTATGTAAAATGTTTCCTGGGGGCTTGCTTCAATAAAAATGCAAAGAGAAACAGAATTAATGTTGAGTCTTTTCTAGTTTTACCAGTACATCATGTTTGTCAATGGATACGTAGAATAAATTTTCAATAATTGCCTTTCATCTTATTAAGAAATGTTTTTTCAAGACAAATTTACGTTTTGTGTTTAACAATGATATGTCAACAGTTGTAATATACTAATACTACTTTGGTTTATTTTGCAAGAGTTATAAAAAATCAGCCTAGAAGAATATTTTTCTACCATTAAATAAAGTTTAGCCTACATTGGGCTAATTCTTGAACATTTTTGGTTCCACCTGGAGGTTTCTCTGTTACCCTTCACATAGTGAACTGTAAACTAAGAGAATATGTAGACAGACTAAATTACTCTGTGCCAGACACCAACTATTCAAACTGGGTTCAAATAAGGCACATGCTGAGCTGTAACTGATCTAGCTGTGTCTGTCCCTCACTTCCATTTTCTGAGCATCACTTTCCTTTATCCGTGAAACTTCTCCCACCAAGTGGCTGCCCAATTTGTGAACAGTCTTTGCTGAGTTAAACTCTGCCCAAGTTGTCTTGTTTTTTTCTTTTAATACCACTTACAGTTTTTTGATCTCATGAAGTTAAACATATAATTTAGATAGATATTTTAATTTTTTTTTTTTTTTTGAGTTGGAGTCTCACTCTGTCGCCTAGACTGGAGTGCAGTGGCTGCTCCCGGCCATCGCAGCCTCAACCTGCTGGGCTCCGGCGATCCTTCCGCCTCAGCCTTCCAAGTAGCCGGAATTATAGGCATAAACTATCACGCCTGGCTGATTTTTTTATTTATTGTAGAGATGAGGTCTCACCAAGCTGCCCAGGCGGGTCTCGAACTCACGAGCTTAGACAACCCACTCATCTCAGCCTCCCAAGGCGCGGGATTACAGGTTGAGCCACCGAGCCCGGCTGATATTTTAATTTTATATAATACTTAATTTCAAGTCTCGGACTTTCAAGCATAAAATATGTAATGAAGAGAACACAATTTTACATAGGAACTGGCATGGGAACATAAAGTCAAGAAAAAGTGTTCATGTAAAATTTCTTACATGATACAGAGGAGTCTGTCCATGTAATTTTTAGAAGGTGACAGTAAATATCCAACTTTTATCAGATACATTTAAAATGTCAATATTTATAAGATGTCATGAATTACATTCTTTCAAGTATTCAAAACTATGCATGCCAACTGTATACAACTTTATACAGTCGAATGCCAACTTAAATGTGAGGGACAGGCAGTCTTCAAAAGTCCTTCCAAGGGTCGGTGAGAACAGCACAGTCACAGAACTTAGTAACTACCAGTTCCAGAGCTGGAAAGTAGGGCTTGTGGCTCCAAAACCATCAGGTGGCTCCTTATCAAGCATGATGATAATCTGAAGAAGTATAAATTCAACTGACCTAATGAGGGATTCTCCTGATCGTGCTGATAGATCAAAGGAAAAGTAGAAACTAAAGTATTCTATAAATTCTAAAAGCAGCACGGCCAACAAAAAGAGAAGCCATACGCAGCTTCTGAATCTATCTGGACTGCAAAAACCAAACGAAACACAACTAGTCTTCAATTTCATCATCTGGAAGGTCACGCAAAGCCCCAAGAAGTTCCAAGCAGTTAGCAGAAGCATCTGCCAGGTTGTTAGTACTCACGTTCAGACCCCTTCCTGGGACTGCATTGAGGGTGTCCTCATCGCTGTCTGCGCCTGACAGCTCGAGCTGCTCGGCCTAGAACACAAGCATGCAAGCTACATCATCACCACATGAAAGTAAGTTCACACAGTAAAAGCTGCCCTTAGCAATCATGAAGGTCAGAATGCCCTGAGGCCACAGGCGGCAAGATCTTCACTGAAAGTTGTAATCCGTGCCACTTCCCCCAGTTTACCAACAGTCCTGAAGCAAAGTGCTTCCTTGATTTGAAAACCACACTCACATGAATGAGTTTTCTTTTCTTTTTTCCTTTTCCCAAGGAATCTCTTTAGCTTAGGAAATACACAATTTTAAAATAGTAGTTGATCTGAACTGATGGAGTTAGGTCAGCAAACCAACTAATTAACTAGATTTTGAGGATTTCTAAGTTTTAATCACGGCACAGCCAATTGATTGGATGTACACCGAAATAATTCACCAAATATCTCACTCCCTTTTCATCAAAGAAAAATGGTAACAAGCTGCCAAACACAGGACCACATGGTTGGAAGTGGATCATTCCACTCCTGGACCCCAACCTGGACTACCAAACAATAATCTTTGGGAATGACCCAATAATCCAATTTCAAACTAGTTCTTAAGTGATTCTTAGGTACTTCTTAGAACAGCTGTGTTAGGAGAATAAATAACGCCAAAATGATACAATCTGTAGTGCTTAAGAATATTAAAATACAAGAGTTTTAAAACAAAGAATAATATTGCTCTCATTTACCTCAGGCAAATTTTATTCCTTTACACATATTCTCTGTTGAGATTTTATACATTCACATACATACCACCCCCCCCACACACACACACGTACACACATATGTATACATATTATTTTCTTTTAAGGTGATATAGTAAAGAGTCACTTTAGTTTTGTCTCGATAATTCTTTTTTTTCCCCAGAGGTTTTCCTTACTTCTTTTTTTTTTATAAGCATATTTTTTATTTTAAAATTGTGGGGTACAATTAAGGGTTAGGTATATAAATAAAGTATCGTTCAGGCACCCTTGTTGATAAGGGGTGTCTCCCCATCTCCAGACAGATATTTCCATCCTGAGTGTCTGTTCCCTGAGACCTCTGCAGATCATCTAGCATCACAGGATTTTAGAAATCATTTAAAAATTACTTGCTTCAAATTCTTTTGTTGACGAAGAAACTGAAACCCACATCTATTAAGCATTGAACAATTTAAATGAGTGATTAACAGTAAGGATTTTGGAAAGGTAGGCCCGAGTTTGAATTCCGGTGTTTATGAATTCTGGTGTTGACTCACACTACGGTTAGCTTGAGGCTGGTTAGCCTTAGTTTTGTCACCTGTAAGATGGAGTTTCTAATAACCTCTCTCATCAGGTTTCCAGATAGATGATGTGAAGTTGCACTGAGCACAGTATCTCAAGCAATAAAAATGGAGAGAAACAAGGAGTTGAGAAGTTAACAAAAACAACAACAAATAATCCAATAAAAATAAGACTGAAGAAGAGATGTCTAGAGGTAATTCAGTAAAATAAATGATAAAGCTGTGAAAGAAAGATGAAGTATATAAGACATAAAAAATAATTCTAGCCATTTGAAGACAGTGAGAAAGAAAAGAACCTTTTAATCTGAGAAATGCGAACCCTCTTAATTATTAAAACCAGAGAGACACTGAGATGCAACAACAGTCATATCTTACTCCCCCTTGAGCTAAATAATTACCTCTAGAAACTGCTTTCTATGTGGGCTCTAGATTAACTGATTTTTAAGCCAAGTAGACATAAAATACCATACACTGAACACCATAACTCACACCCTATAGTTTGAAATTCATTTCCAAATAAAATGAGCACTCATAAATTAATTTCACCCTACAAACACATCCCCAAAAACAAAATTATCTTTTAGAGGCTGGGTCCCTTGTAGTACAGACTTCCCCTGCTAGGTAAGTGGTCTAGGAAACCATTGTATCCGTGTACCAGCTAACATTGTGAGAGGCTGCATCTGGCTTCAGTTAATTTTTGGGGGAAGATTCTTTCAACGTTTGCCCATTTCATGATGGGTTAGTTACACAGATAACCCGCCCACGCTGAGCTGAGTGTGTGGCAGTTTTTGACCAAAAGTGACCCCATTCACCTGATCTCACCCCAAGGGATTTTTGTTTGTTTGTTTCCTCGAATTAAAAATGTCCTCAAAGGGAAACATTTTGCTGATGTGGAAGAAGTTCTAAAAGGCATCAAAATGGAATAGTTCAAAAACTGTTCTGGGCAGTGAAAAACATCTCGATAGGTGTATAACATCAAATGAAGAATACTTAGAAGGGGACTGAAATTTAAACATGTAATAATAAATATGCAATTTTTTACAAGTAAATCCCGGTCTCTTTTGGGTCCCCCTTCGTATAACCAACCACGAACCAAAGTTGTTTCTGTTATTCAGGGAGAATTCCTGTCGAAGAACTTTTTATAAACCCTCCCGTTCCATGGCCCTTTTTGCCTTTGAAGTCCTACTTGTAACAAAGGCGTAAGGGAGAACTTCCCAAGGTAACTTGGATGTGTCCAGGCTGTTGTCCTCAATCTTGGCTCCAATAAACTCTCTATGTTAATTTTGCCTTAGTTTATTTCTTTTCTTTCTCTTTTTTTTTTTTGAGTTGGAGTCTCACTCTGTCACCCAGGCTGGAGGGTATTGGCACACTCATGGCCACCCCAGCATCGACCTGCTGGGCTCCAGTGATCCTTCTGCCTCAACTTTCCTAGTTGCCAGAACTACAGGTGTGCGCTACCACTCCCAGCTAATTTTTTATTTATTGTAGCAATGAGGTCTTGCCAATTTGTCTGTGCTGGTCTCCAACCCGTGGGCTAGGGCAATCTACTTGCCTCCCAAAGTGCTGGGATTATAGGCTGAGCCACTGAGACTGGCCAGTTTATTTCTTTAGGTCAACATATCTGATATAAGTTTGCAGGATTCAAAGAGACTCCACCACCACCACACCCAATGTTTTCTCTCAGACCCAGCACTTGGTCCTGGCATAAACCCACATGTCCTTCCAATGCCAGAGGATTGCTAGGTGCAAAGAGCGAGACATTATGAGTCCAACATCCCCTTTTTGCTTTCAGGTGTGGTCTAAACTTTACTTGGACTATTCTTTCCAATTCTTTCTTCCTGGACCAGAGGTCCCATCTTTGCTTTGCAGGAAAGGGATTTGGGTTTCAGGGATAAAAGACGACTGCTTGTTTTGCCTCCGCCTCCAGTCAGGAAAGTCCTGGTCCAGGTATGGGCAGTTTGGCTCAGGTCTCTTCGCTTTACACAGCATGCTTTTAAAACTGCAGCTGCTTTCTATTGTTTGCAATTTGGACTTTCTAAAATGTGTGACCAACTCGTGCAGTTTTAAACCGAAAGGTGCATGAAGGCAAGTTCTTTCACTCTAAGTTAGGAGATGTGAAAAATATGTTTCTTAGAGAGCTCTCCTTTAACCTTTAACAGAAAAACCCTTTAAATGCTTGAACTGTGCAGGTCTTTCTCAGTCCCTTGGAGATGTAAATCTCACCACATCTTGGAAACTGGTTAACATCCAGAGAATCAGCTAAGCAACATTCCAGCTGAGATCAGTTTGAAACACAGTTGATGTTCTTTAGATGCACCACAAAATTCCTCTTTTAAGAGAAACATTGGCTGGACTCTGTGGCTCAGCCTGCCATCCCAGCACTTTGGGAGGCCGAGGAGAGTGGATTGCCCGAGCCCGCGGGTTCGAGACCAGCCCTGGCAACTTGACGAGACATTGTCTCTAACATAACATAACATAACATAACATAACATAACGTAACGTAACGTAACGTAACGTAACGTAACATAGCATAGCATAGCATAGCATAGCATAGCATAGCATAGCATAGCATTGCATAGCATAGCATAGCATAGCATAGCATAGCATAGCATAGCATAGCATAACATAACATAGCATAACATAACATAACATAAATTAGCCAGGCGTGGTAGTATGCAACTGTAGTTCGACTCCTTGGAAGACTGAGGTGGAAGGATTCCTGAAGCCCAGAGTGCCATTGCACCCCAGCCTGGGCGATGGAATGAGACTCCAACTCAAAAAAAAAAAGAAACATTTAGAAATTAATTTGAATTATTTGTTTTGAACTTTGTGGGTACTCACTTGTAATTCTTTTGACGGAAGGAAACCAACATATTCCTCTCCAAAGTACTGAGAATTCCTGAGCTGAAGAAGGTTAAGATGCCAGGGGAGACACTGCCCTTCCCCTGCTTGCCTGATGGAAGGATGGTACTTAAGACAAAGTCAAACACAAAAACAAAGACAGAGACCTGTTTTTCCTACCTCAATGTTTGCTTATCAGCTCAGAGACAGCAGTACCAGAAAATAAATCAGTCTTTCCAAATGTTTCTGCCTTTTGACACTACCCCCAGGCAGAATTTGCTTTCTTATTTTCTCAACTGTCTCTTTAAATCTTCTGTCTGGACTTAATTATAGACAGTTACCTGAAAACTAAGCCCTAGAGAACATGGTTGGATAGCAGTTGTACCCTATTTGAGGTTCACAAAACTTTCCTTTCTTTGAGCTGTGTTGCACCTCTTTGGAGACACCTGGTGAGTCCTTGATTTAAGTGCTAACCTTGGTCAAGGCTTATTGGTTTTGGTGAGTCACTTGGAAAGATACCCATGGCTTAAAAGAGGAAGGGGAACGTACAAAAGTAGGGACATTGGCTGTTTGTCCTGGCTGAAATTTTTTTAATTAAAAAAAAATTTTTTTAAAGCTCTGCAGTCAAAAGTTGACTTAATTAAAGGCTGATATTTAGGATATATGTGTGTGTGTGTGTGTGTGTGTGTGTGTGTGTGCGCGCGCACACAGAGAGAGAGGCCTCTGTTCACTCTATAAACACATCTCAGTTGACTGAATTTCTGTCTGCTTACACCCATGCCAACTACATACTCTCCCTTGTCTGCTTCTCTTTTGATGATACGATTTATGCCAAGGATAATGTAAAACTTCGCTGGTTTCTTGAAAAGCTTAAATTCTCTTTCTGCTTTGGA